GCCTGTAGTAGATTGTCTGGGCCTGGCGTCCGAAGTTCCCGTTCGACAAGGCTCGTCCGATTCCGCTTCCACCAGGGCTGGGCAACCTATCAGCCTTGGTGCCTATCACTGTTGTTCAGTCCAAGTTACCTGCCCACTGGTAGGGTAATGGTCCTGAGTGCTGGTCACACTGAGGTAGGATAGTGGGATAGGGGGTGCGCTAGGAGTATTGACGTGAGGATGGGATGGGAGGTGGTCTCATATTCCAAGACACCCACGGGCTATTGCTCCAGGTGATCACTGTGTACTCAGTGACTGGCCTCTACAACACCATGGACTTTTGAATAAAAAAATAAAAAAAGAAGACGGACGCCTATCACATCTTCAGGGATCAGCAGAGATGCCCTACCTCCTACGCAGTAAGGGTCAAGGACCCCGCTAAACCTACTCACCTCCTCGCAATTTAGGGCAGTCTGCTCACCAATCTCCGTCAACCCCCTATGAAACCCCACCGCCCACCATAATAGGGTTTCTGCAGAGCAACGGTCACTTGTCCGTCTCTCAGCATCTCAAAACAAAAACAAAAAGAACCCCTAAAAGAATTGAGACTAGTGGTATTGGGATGTCATGTGATAAGCAAAATGGCAACCAGTGATCCTCGCCAAACTGCACAGGACCCTAAACTAGCCTAAACTAAACCATTGAAATCTATCAACCACAAGACGGAACAGGCAACCTAACTACGAAAAAGATCTAGGCTATCTACAAAAAAACGAAAGAAAGCCAGAAAAAGAGAAAAATTTAAAAGGAACCTTTACTGTACATATCAACGTAAAGAAAGGAGAAACTTCCACACAAAAAACTATATGGATACTCATGTAACTCAACAACTAGAAAGTCATTGTCCGTCCTCAAATCCATGCCTGCTATCTTCCAAGTGGAGAGCTGGTCCTGACAACAGAGTGGTTTTCATAAGCTGATGAGACCCCGCCGCTCGTAACTCCAATCGTCCCACCAACCATTTCCAGCACCTTTCAATCATACCACCAAACATCTTCATCGCCTTATCCAAGGAGCTTCATGAGAGTGCAGCACAGCCAGTGATTCCGGTCCTCTCCGTCCCATCAGCCATCACTATTGCCATATGAGGAGGCTCCATATCGAAGACAGGGGGAAAACCCCGGGTTAATTCCCATTAAGGTATAGCCGAAGCACCTTAACCCCACCTGTCAACCACCCCCACATGCCACCATCCACACCAAGCTGAACAGGATTTCCAACCAGCTCGACACGGAGCTGATCAACTCAGGTGGGCGACAACCGAGGGGTTTCACCTCCCTCGTGAAGCGGGTCCATGCATGCCCGTGCACCCCCAACCCCACGCCGATCCAACGCCGCCGCCCGCAGCAGATTCTGGCAAGTAGAGCGGATGCTCTTCCGCTCCACCAGGCGATCCTCCGCTACATGGATGCTTCACGGTGCGGCGCTAATGCTAACGCTACGCTAGCGCCGCCGCCTCACCTCCCAGTCCGGTTTCGCAGCAGATGTAATCGTGCCTCGCTACCCTCGATTGACGGCTCTCGAGAAACTGCGCTCCGTTACCGCCGGCGGACGAGGCTCAACCGGAAGGCGTACTGGCAACCATTTTGCTTCGTCGAAGGTGACCGCCATGGCAAAACTCTGAGACGAGGCGGAGTCGAAGGATGTCCTCCCTCCTCCTCGCTCCCATCAGCGGGTGATGAGTTGTGCTCATTAAACTTGAGCACGTGAGGAGAGACAGTGTAGCGAGCGTGACAAGTTGACCGTGTCTGCGAAGGAGGTAAGAGATCCGGAGCAAGCTAATTGACAGACGGAGAGCTGATCAGCATACCTGAAATGTTGAAGTGGCACTAAAAACTGTTCAACTCAAAATAAGGAAGCCCGCCATCCAGAATTGAGGCCATGGATAACCCGCTAATGGAAGTTGCCGATGGGCCGAGCCAACAACGAACACTGGACATGGTCAGGAAAATAGCCGGTTGGAGGACTGCGTCTGCAGGTTGGATTTGCTAGAGGATGAGTTGGAGACTGCTCTTCCATCGCCAGGAGCTGGCTCGGCAGATCGGGTTTGGCAGACTGTCCTTACATCTGCCCGCCTTCACTCACTGACGCGCCTGCGAGAACATGTCGAAGAAATGTTGTTGACCAAATACCAGGTCTTCGAACAAAACATCGCCAGAGTCGCAAAAGTTCAAGACGGCGCAATGGAGAATAGGGCCCGAGCCCCTAGCCAGCATCAACACAGAGGGGGGGAGAGGATCCCCCTCTCTAGCGATCAGGAAACGACTAAGGGCCAGGGCAACGCTAGCTGTCAAAAGCATCGTGTGAGTTCACCAGAGGATGATACACGAGAGCGGATTCTTGCGATCGAAACCCACCGATGCAAGAGCTCGCCGATACTGGGTAGTGAAAGGTTGTTCCCCGGCAAACAGCTGGAAGATATGTCTCGGGTGATATTGCATCAAGCCGGGGAGACAAATTACTCAAACCATCAAATCTGCGGGATAATAATGGCCACGGGAGGAGATGACGATGTGAGAGGGAGAATGCGAGGAGGGAAACGAATGAAGGGGGTTGACCGGGGTTACCGCTCTTGGCGACTGCCTTGGGTTGGACCTTATCCCTTCGTACAGGAGGTTCTGCACGGTGATAGACGCAATCAATTCGCTATTCGGAATCATCCTCTCCTCCGATGCAAATGTGCAGGTAGGGATGTTTGCCTTTCGAATTTGCATATTCTGTGTAGATAGAATTGCACAATTGCCTCTGTTTGCTGGTGGAAACCTATATAGCTTGTGCCCATGTCCTATCGTGACACAAATTTAGGCGAAACTCTTAGGTTCTTAAGGGTTGCTTGGCAT